TTTGTACGAACAAAAGTAAGAGAAATTTAGGAGAAGAATACGAACATGTTCTTGCATGAGGCCCATTGTGAGTTAAGAGTCTTCTCTCTTGCTGACAAAATTCATTTTGTGGGGCTGGTTGTGCCACGGCGGTCAAAGAGTTTGCCACCGGCCTGAGCTACCAACCTCACAGCTGCTGTCTGCTCTCCTCTGCTGCTTCACTCTGATTACCCAGGGGAACAAGAGAGACACTGTTTATTTTCAACTGTCTGGACTGCATGAGAAGATTGTGTTCCCCGCCTTGTCTGTCACAAATCTGCGAGGAAACTGTGTCTGATCAAAATGGATGAGCCAAACTTTCTTTTCTCCTTTCTCTCTTTTCGTCTGCTTTGAGCCTGATGCTTGTCTTCAGGTTCAAGTGGTCAGAACTTAGACTCCAGCAAAGATTAAATTAAATGCAGACTAGATCTTACATCTGCACACATCTAAAAGTGTTTAACCATAAATATACAAGGATTAAACAAACTGAATTGCAAGTTACATAATCTTCATGTTCTAAAAATGGATTAACTTCTAAATATACAGCAATAAAATGATAATTGCTTTTCTAATTGATATTAACAGATTTGTTTTGTCATTTTTCATTCTTTCTTGAATGTTTGGTCTTTGTTTAGCAAAACCCCTTTTGGCATCTTGCAAACGTGTGGTTCTAACTGCAAAAACCTTAAAGTTGTTCAAGACTTTCATTCACCCCAAAACAACCCCAAAAGACAAAATAATCAAAACATCTACAAGTGTCAAAATAGTGTTAATTAGCAATAAAAACAAATATAGTAATAAAAATGATCTTTTATATTACATTTAAACCCTAACTTTGTTTTTTCCCTAATATTAACCAGCTGATATTAACAGTTTTGTTGCCTAAAACCAACCAGGAAATAATTAATTTGTTGTTTTAGCATATTTTCAGCTGGTTTGTTGACCGAGTAAATGTCAGTCCAGACTGTGTTTCAGCTACAACCACAGTTCTTTTTGTAAACTATTATCAAGTAGTGATACTGCCTATTTTAACTACTGAGTAATTAAAATGCTTTTATAGGAGAGTGACATTTTCTTGTCAAAACTTGACCCAGAAGTGATTTTATGGGCTCAAGCTTGTCCTCCGTAGCTGAAAGTCCAGCACTTTTTTCTGTTGTGGAACTTCTCTTGATCTGTAGAAAGAAACAAAGGTTCTTAAGGATCATTTAATATGTTCCCTTCCAATTGACAGAACATATGTATGTGGTGCATTTAAAGGTTTGGAGTAATGACCATATTGTTGTATGAACGATTTGTTGGGTTCTTTGACTTTTGTTTGTGCCACCTTAGAAGATCAAGGCTTTAGAATAAAATAGAATAAAATACAATATAATACAATACAATAGAACATAAACATCCTGGTATCATCTTTGGTATTTGCAAAAAAAGATAAACCACAAAATGCTTTGAGTACTATTTTCTGTACAAGAAAATTCATCTTATTGGCTGTGATAAAAGCCATGAACAGAATTGATTGACTAAGAAAATTAGAAGTTAAAGAGATGGAAACTATTCACCTCCTTTTGTCCTGACTAACCTTTAAATACCAACGGCAAACTCTTCTAATGTAACTTCTTCTGTTTTCATGAGCTTGTTTCCAAAATACACCAGGCTTATCGTTTGCTAACTTCTGATGCTAAATGTTGCAGCAAGGACAGGGGAAAGCTTTCTTCTGATGACTCTTTCATGAACGTTTGCAAAAGTTCTGCTTGCCTATCAACATGTAATGGAAGTCATACGGAAACACAAACACAAAGAGCAACTTAATGGATTTTATGAATTTCACAAGAGAAGTGATGAGATTTTTTTACAGTTTGACCAGTATTTTTCTATCAGATCCTCAAACAAATAAGATCAGTTTCTTCTTATTATTTTGACTCCTTCCATTACTGCTAACTTCTTATTGATGAACTTATGAAGGAATAGGTCTCTTGGTAAATTTGACATAATCTTGACATGTTTTTGAAATTTGACAACAGCTCAATGCAACATTTTTATTTTAATGGTTGTAGAAAATAAAATCATACGCCCCAGAAGAGTCAGGAAACAGATGGATATTTGCAACCAGAGACAAAAAAAAGGACACAGAGTCACAAATTCAATTTAGAATGACTTGATATTCTTGGCAGACGCTAATACTCAATGCTGCACTTAAAAAAAATAAAAGGATACCATTTTACAAAAAGGCTCCCCTTATATATGGCTTATAGTTTATAGATATAATATTAATTCATCTGTAAACACTTCATAAATCATTAATAAGTGTTTCTTATGCATTAGTTAAGGGCAAGAAAGAAACAAAACTTTATGGTTTCTTGCCAAATAGTGAGCCAAATCTGTTCATGTACATAAAGGTGCTGTATTTAACATTTCAGACTAGGTTACTACTGTGTAAGCACATTGGAAACATATTTTACATATAATATTGTACTGCATTACTTCATTATCCTTATTCATAATTATTAAGTGGAACCTTATTTTAAAGTGTAAAACAGTAGGTACACTATTAATGACTAATAAATGTGTATAAATGTCATAAGGGAGCCTTATAAATAGTGAACTGTTTTACAATAAGGCTCCCTTTGATAACTGTGAGTATGTATAATAATACTGTATAATATTATATGTAATATGTATGTTTCCAATAGATTATGTGCTTACAAAGTAGTATATAGAGTACCTTTAGATGTAATGTGTACATGAACCGATTTGGCTCACTATTTGGCAAGAAACCGGAAAGTTATGTCTCTTTCTTGTCCTTAATTAATGCTTAATAAACACTTATTAATGATTTATAAAGTATTTACAGATGAATTGACAACAAAAACTATTTATAAGCCATCTATGAGGTGAGCCTTATTGTAAAGTGGTACCAAAACAAGTCATAGACAAAATATAATTTGAGATGAATGCAGATAATTATCTTTTCAGCTTGTTGTTTTGTTGGTTAGCAGTCTATCCTGTCTGCCTCCGAGGTGTCAGGTGTAGCATGTTAATTCACGTTAGGACTGCGTGATCAGAACCGCTACCTTGGCTTGACATAGCCCTGGGCCGGTTCTTGTTTTTACTTCCCTTCACCACCTGCCTCTCTCTCATTGCCCCCCCTCGCCCCCTCCCTCCACACACACACACACACACACAC